AAAGTAAACGTCCCACACGATCCTCCAAACGCGTCGTAAATGCCACGACAGGCTTGGCCAGTCTCCCATTTCCTCATCCTAGGCAATTCCCAAGCGAAGACGATATTCGACAGACAAAGTTGATCATTGGTCAGTTGGACCGAAAGATTGAAGATTTAGAGAACGACATCAAAAAACTTCAGACGCAACTACAACAAGTTCAACGAAAAAGGACCAACTATGCGTCATACATCTCCCCATTGAGGCGGTTACCAACAGAGTTACTCAGTATGATCATCAAAATCTATCTCAAGGAGTTTGGAGAAATCACAACAATCGCGAGCGTGTGTAGTCGGCTGCGGGAGGTTGTGTTGGGAATGGCAGGGTTTTGGAGTAACATTTCACTTCGTGACATCGAACCAAAGGAAGGTGGTCACTACATGCGTCGTATTAATGGGCGTTATGGATGCTCCGTAGAAGTAAGTTACTGGCTTACTTGACAGGTGTCGTTTTGAACTACTCGTAGGGAGGCATTCAATGTACGACATTGGAGCAGTTGGAATTGGTTTTGAATAGGGTGGGAAAATCTCCATTGAAGCTTGTAGTGTCCTGGCCAGTAGAATCCGGGACACTCGAGCTCCTGGCAGATCGACACTGCCCAATTCACACTCTGGTGGTCCTTGATAAATGGAATTCTGCGATGTGGTTTTCCGGATTCCATAATCTTAACTTGGATCAACTCCAGGAACTTCAACTGCGGAAGTTACGATGGGACCAGTCTAGACCAATCATGGATCTGGCATTGGGGTCAAACTGTAACAGGATGACTCTCGACATCAACTATGGGTCACCTACTCTAGAACTATTCCAACACGAGTTGATGCAACGAGTTGTCAACCTTGGAATTGCGACCGGTGAGCGGATATCTCTTAATGTTGAACCCCATGTAATCTCATTCACAGATGACGGTCTTATGGAGCATTTATACCAAGAATCATCGGGACTGAGTGAGATATCTTTCCCAAATGTCGAAACTTGGAGGCTAGAAGGAGAAAATGGCCTTATTCGCTCCCTGGACCTTAGTGGTGCAAGGACTGTCAAATTCTTGTCCATGGACTATCCTAATAAACCGATTGTCGCTAATTTCCCAAGCCATTTGACAGAGTTGGACCTAGTGTGTGTTATTCTTGCTCCTGAATCATTGCAGAGTGGCCAACGGCAGTCGTTACCCTGCTTAAAGAGTCTGAGACTCGAAGATGTATTATTCATTGGCCCTTTCCAAAAATATTTCCATTGTCCTAGGCTCGAATCCTTAACCTATTGGATCCCACATAAGGACGTAGAGGAAACCACTATAGAAGGCAGCAGATTGCTTTATAAGGACCCGGTATTACAAGTGTTTGAAGTTTCATTTTTCCGGGAGACTTCAGCCTTATCCTTTTTACATTTGGAGGGGACCACCCTGGATGTAAGTACGGCACCGACCCTTGCAGCATGCCCCATGTTGCGCGAGTTGGAAATAAAGGACTGTCACATAAACGAATTTATCCACCCCTTCATACGGCGGTTAGGAAAAATGGCCCACTTCCCATCTCTGAAAGTCCTCTCCATCCACGACTCCTGGCCAAGCAACGCAGAAATGTCTCATGAAGAGTTTATGGCGCAATGCGGCTCAAAGCGACCTGGACTTTACTATACGGGAAATGGACAAGAAGAATATGTTGAATCCCCTTCCCCTTCCGAAGATACGGACGATGCGGATCTCCAGTCCTCCTTTGACAGTATGGATGAAGTAGACATAGTCATAGAGTCCGCTGACGACGATGAGTAGTACCTTCGGTACGTCATTTTCAATCTGCACCTGATCCAATGTCTTCGTACTGATGATGCCTCGAAGGAACAGTATGCTGTTCAGATTCAGATGGAACAGAGGTCGGTCAAGTGTCCATGACTGGGGAGTCAACTTCTCCTTAATACAAACAAATGTAGTTCAACATTCTCATTGCACAAATTCTTATATTTTATTGGGCGCGTTAAATTTCAGTTAGCATAGTCGACCTCTGAATTGAGTGATAGTTATAGTATAGTAGTAATTATGTAATGATCAATTAGGCCCCAGTTATCGGGACTACTTGAGAACTCTGTGAGGCAATTTGCAAACAAACTCTGCTAGTATCCTTGGTCTCTACTCATGATTACACTCAGGGATGGGGCGAATGAGACCCAGACGAAGAGGCCCAAATAATGAGCGGGCACCGGGTGGTTCACTTGCTCAAAGGAACTTGGTCGCGTTCATCACCGGCCATCCCTACGACTCCCCATAAACTGTGCCACCTCCTGATTCAAACCCATGCTACAAAGTAAACGTCCCACACGATCCTCCAAACGCGTCGTAAATGCCACGACAGGCTTGGCCAGTCTCCCATTTCCTCAT